TGGGACTGCTTGCGCCTTGGGAGGGAAGGGAGGGCAACTGGCAAGGGCTGGGGCTGATGGGACTGCTTGCGCCTTGGGAGGGAAGGGTGGGCAACTGGCAAGGGCTGGGGCTGATGGGACTGCTTGCGCCTTGGGAGGGAAGGGAGGGCAAATGGCAAGGGCTGGGGCTGATGGGACTGCTTGCGCCTTGGGAGGGAAGCGCAGGCTGTCCTTGCTGTTTGCCTGTGTGCCCCCCCCAGCCCCCCCCTGGCAGAGGCAGAAACGGCTCCTCCTCTTTCGTTTGAGTTGCGAGTCCAGCTGAGTCTCAAACTGGATGGAGGGAATCCTTTGGGATCGCTTCCCTCCCACCTTCACCCCCTGAGAAATAATGTCAGAAGCAGCCGGATCTCTTAGAACCAAAAATAAATCCGGTGTTGAACTTTGTGATGAGGTTTTCCCATCTGAATAAATTGATAACTAGATTTTTTGCTAGGGTGAGGCATCAGGTCCTCGAACTGGAAAATAAATCTGTGTGGCCCTTTTTAATTCCAGCCGTGGCCACTGAAACCCTGAGTAGGTTCCTTGCCTGGCTTAATTCAGGCATGATGTTGGTTCTTAGAACCAGAAAACATCTCAATGGCCCTTTTTAACGCTAGATGTGCCGGTGATTGATAATAGATTTTATAGTTTTCTGCCTGGTGTAAATTTAGCCCTGGCGATGGATCTTAGAACCAGGAAGAAATCCTCATGGGCCTTTTAAATGACCAGTGTGTGGCCAGTGCTTGGAAAGAGATTTCTGTTTTTCCACCTGGGAATAATTTTATCCTTGCCTGTTGTTTAAAATGTGTAAGTTATGTTTTGACTGGTAAATAATTCTGACACACAGTATGCGGCTGTCCCCTCACTAATTTTGATTTCTTCTGTCACACACATTTATCTTTTGGTTTCTGAAGTATTTGTAAATGGGATCCAGACTTTATAACATTCTGTTTGACGTGTATGTTTTGTAATAAAGCTGAATTTTACTCCGGATTTACTGTTGTTAAGTAGTTGTGATGCCTATGGTAGATGCCTCTTTTTATGTATCCTTTATATGTATCCGTTCTTATCACCGTCTCTTCACCAAGAGATACCTGTTGTGATATTCATGTATTTGAACACAAAAGTTGTGTTTTCTTTCTTCTGTGAGAAATCTGTTGGTGTTTCTTTTATACCTCACCTTTTTATTAAAAATGTCATTTTAAATTAGTGAATTATTTAACCCATCACGGTATTTTATCATTGCTTTTGTAATTTTTACAATTATAAACATGTGACTTTTTATCCTTAAAATATTGGATGATATTTTTATGTATTTTACCTGTATTGTGTTTTGCATTGTACAAACTGTTGCAGCTGGGTTATGCTTGGAAGATGTGATGCTTGTGTTAAACAATAAAGTGTTTGAAACTACTTTCAACTGTATTTGTGATCCTGCAGTGAGGAGCTTGGACCTGTTGGGCACCTGGTGCTCCTGCTCTTCGTTGAAGTCACGGAGGATCACCTTTTGTAAGGATTTGGGGTTTGGGTGTGCTCAGAAATGTCCTGTTCTACCAAAATAAACTTCCAATGAAATAATTGTTCATAAAATTATTTTTGATTTCTCTCTGTCTCTCTCTCTCTCTCTCTCTCTCACACACACACACACACACACACACACACACACACACACACGCTATCCAGTACACACACACACACACACACACACTATCCAGTAACTGTGCCTTAGGGAAAAAGATGCCATGGACTTATCTGGCCACAGGAGGGCAGCACTCCCTGCTCTGCCATCCTCCGTGTCCTATTAGAAATGAAGTTTTAGCTCCAGGAATTCTCTCTTATATTCCCTGCAGCCTCTTCGGTGGCTGCTTGGAGCTTCCATCAAAGGAAGGAAGGAAGGGAGAGAATAAAAATAAGCCACTCCGGGGCTCCTCTGCCAAATGTTACAGCACACGCCGGCCACAGGGGGGCAGACCTTGCTGCTTTGAGTAAACTCGGTTTGATGGGGGTTTGCTTGTTATGTGTATTCCTTTATCAAAGGTGCACAAAAAGCACCGAGTTGTAGGAATCCTAATTAAGTCCCTAGAATCCTTGATCAGGGCTTGATGAAAGGTGTCCATAAGGGGGGCAGAATTTCCTGCTTTTACCAGCTGGACGTGGGGTGAAGAGAATCGGAGTCCTGCCACTAGACCTCCCACTTGCTATCGGTACAGCCTCCACAAAACGGCGCGCGTGCCCACAGAGAGGGCTCTGAGTGCCGCCTCTGGCACACGGGGCCATAGGTTCGCCAACACTGCACTAGGACAGTCATGTCATGGAGTAAGGGGCTCTTGAACCCTCGTCCTTATTGGTCCCAGGATGGTCCGGAATTGCACCGTTGAAACATTTAAAATTCCATGGAACATCCCGGGTGCAAAAAGACGGGGTTTAAGGTCTGGAAGAGGTGGCACAACTCACCGACAGCCAACGTCATCACCTGTAGCTCCTTCTGCGCCTGCTTCACCATTTTGCTCTTCTGCAGGGGGGTGGCCCTGCAGCAGATGACCGCGCGGACCTTCCTTGCAAGCTGCATGAACGTGTCCTTCACCTTTTTGTGCAGAGCAAAGTCCAGCGTCGGCCCGTTTATGATTAAGGCAAAGCTCCCGGCGGACGCCGCCGTTCCTGGGGTGTTGTCCGCCTTTGGGGTGCCAGTCCTGGTATCGATATCTTCCAAAATGCTTTTTGCTTTAAGGGCACAGGTCTCCTGGTTGGGAAAAGAGAAAAAAAAAGACTTAAGTGAGATTAAAGTTTCACCTCAGTTGCTTGTAAGGCTCCATTGTGGTCCTAACCCGGGGACCCCCTGTGCTGGGAAGACCCTCTCCTTTTCAGCCCTGAGATCATACAAAGATATAACATTTGTAGGGGGGGGCAAATAAGTTCTTCCACCAGACGCACCAAATTCTCGCTGTCCAGGGTGAAAAGCTTGTCCGACCCGTCCAATAATTTGCAGGAATAAGCAATATTGATGGCCGTCTCCTTTTTATCGCCCGTTAGCATCCAAATATTAATTCCCGCTTTCCGAAGAGCCGCTATGGTTTCTGGAACCCCCTCTTGCAACCGGTCTTCAATTCCAGTGGCGCCTATTTAAAATAAAAATAAAAACCCAGTTTCACGAGGTTCCAATGACTAGTTCCTTCGAAATAATAATAATAATAATAATAATAATAATAATAATAATAATAATAATAATAATAATAATAATAATAATAATAATAATAATAATAATAATAATATAATAGTAGTAGTAGTAGTAGTAGTAGTAGTAATGATAAAGTTGGAAGGGACCTTGGAGGTCATCTAGTCCAACCCCCTGCTCAGGCAGGAAACCCTAGACCATTTCTGACAAATGGCTGTCCAGTCTCTTCTTAAAAACCTCCAGTGTTGGAGCATTCACAGCTTCTGGAGGCGGGTTGTTCCACCGGTTCAAAACACTTCACCCACAGTCCAAACCGTCCCTTTGGCATTTAAAAGCTACACTTTCCTGAAATGGGAAGCCCAAAACTTTTCAGAAAGTAAGGGTTTTGTAACTGGGACTAGAAAAAAAGAAAAAGAAACAAATTGTGTTAGCTTTGCCTAACTACGGCTATCTCCCTTCTGTAAATCAGCGTTTGCGTCAGGGGCCGATTTCACACAAGTGCGGGAAACAAGTCCATGATGTGATGTACTGAGGAGGGAATAAGGGCCCGTACAGGAATGATGGATATCTTCTTTACATATGTGATAACTCTATTTGTCTGACTATTGATTGGCTAGCAAAGTTTATAAAGCAATACCACGAACTTTCTAAGCCAGAGGTGCCCAGCCTTTTGCGCCCCAGAGACCGCTTCCTGCATTTTTAAAACTTCAGCATCCGTTTGTTTTCCCAACTCACCCAACAGAGTCAATTTGTTTTCAAGTCTCTCCGCTGACTCCAGAAGTAGCTGTTCTCGGTTTTCTATGCTGCTCTCGGCTACATATTGTCCTTTTAGCCACTCTTCATACTCCTCGTTGCTCAGCACCTGAATGCCCCCCCCCCCAAAAAAAAATACACCATAAGAGAATGGCAACGCTGACATTGCAACTGGCCGTGGGACACGAGTTTGCACTAATATCAAAGAAACGGTGGAGTAGAATCCTTAAACAAGTAAGGGTGCCAAAGGAGGGACAAAATGAAGGACAAAAATTAAAAAATATATAGTTTTTATTTGTTTTAAGTAATTGAATTGGATTGTTGGAATTGTTCCGTGGTGAGTAGCCCTGCAATGAGTTGGGGAGGAGGAGGAGGAGGAGGAGGAGGAGGAGGAAGAAGAAGAAATTGAAGGAGAAAGAGGAGGAGGAGAAAGAGGAGGAGGAGGAGGAAGAGAATCTATTCAACCCTCTATCCCAAATATAAGGAGCCATAATCCACGTTTAAGGTGGGCAACTATCCCTGCCTTTACAACTTGTGGACTTCAACTCCCAGAATTCCTGAGCCAGCATGGATTGGAACATATATTCCCCATGGCACAAAAGAGCAGCTTATCCCTAGGAAGAATCTATATTATTCATTATTTTCAGCAGTGGATTGAACCACACCAATAAACAGGGATGTCTGATTATGCCCTGGCTGCTGTTTCCTAAACTAGGGGGGGAGGAAATATGAAGTCGATTTTTTTTTCATATCAGACATCTTTAAAAAGGAGATTCTTGTGAATTCTTTAGGCGTCATCCTTTTTTTGCAAAATTACCTTCATAGAGATACAAAGCGTGCGTAGTCCTTGTCTGGCATAATCGTTTAAGTGCCTCTGCGTTCTTTCTTGGACCATCTTCCTCTGTGCCGCTATTTTATCTTTGCCTGAATTTAAATAAAAGACGGGGCAGAGAATACTAAATATATAAGACTTTGGGAAAATAACTCAATCAATTCTCTTGGCTCTGTGGTTAGGTGATCAGAACTCAAAGCCTTGGCAACTGACTCCTATTTATGACGGTCGCGGCCCCTAACCTGTTAATCCCAGGTCCAGCAAATTCATGATGGCGGCGTCTGCTCCTTTCGTGTACACCACCACTTGGTTTAACATGGGATGCTTCACCACCACGGACATACGTTTGCGGACGGAGTCGAAAGGCAACAGGTGCAAAAGCTGGAACGTTAGCATTCCCAAAGACGCAAAGTCGATCTGCACCTGATCGGGACTTCTAGCTTTCAAGGTGCATTGGTAAGCCCTGGCAGCGTGCACCAAGGCCGCTTCGTCGGGACTCTCGGCCTCGTAACAGATCTCTGGAATATTTAACGACTCGTACGACAATCGGTCCGGGCGGTCTTCCGGTAATCTTAAAATGTCTGGCTTTTTGGGGCTAGGGGACCCCGCTGGCATTTCCAGAGTGTCCAATAACTGTGCTGGCGAGGACGGAAACTTCACATGAACAGATAACTTTTCAGGGGTTTTGGCACTCTCTTTTTGTCCTCCTGAAGAATCTGGACTTTGCAAGCTCGTTCTGCGGCTCGACAATCTTTGGAAGATATTTTTAAATTCGCCCAGGTTTAAAGCCGGCATCTTGACCATGGAAGACCACCTCCTCTGTAAAACAAGGAATGATCTATAAATATTCAAAAATGGATTACAGTCTGGGGGGTCTCTCCAGAGGCACGATCCCGTGTCGTAAATCAATATACAGCTCAACACGCAGTATAATCCCAAAATGAAACAATGGAAGGAAACTAATCAAGGAGAGAACCAACCTAGAACTAACGAGAAATTACCTAACATGGAAGACAATCAACCAGTGGAACAGCTTGCCACTGGAAGTTGTGGCTGCTCCATTCCTGGAGGTTTTCAAGAAGACACTGAACGGCTACTTGTCTGGAATGGTATAAGGTCTCCTGCTTGAGCAGGGGGTTGGACTAGAAGACCTCCAAGGTCCTGCTATATGGAAGATCTGGGATTCTCTATCCTCTATACCAGGGGTAGGCAACCTGAGCATGGCTGGAGTCATAAAAGAGCCAAGGTTGCCTACCCCTGCTCTATACTCACCCTAAGTCGTGGTTGGTCAGGTTCTGAGACGACCACCGTGTTGCAAATTGCCAGGGCTATGAAGAATTCAGTGATGTACACTATTTCCGGGATCAGTTTCTGTTTGCCTGGATAGTAGTATGCTCTGGATGAGACCCGGTTCACTTTTTTTAATAGTCGCATATCTGGCACAACGTCCGTCTCCTGTGGGTAATATTAAAAGAACAAAGTCAGGGGGGTTTTTTTCTTCCCCATTTTAGTCGTGTGCCGATTTGTTATTTTTTTAAAAAGTGTTTTCTAACGATTGTCAAGGTCATAATTTAACAGCTAACCAGCTGATGTAATGTACGAGGTAGGATGGAATGATGGGAATGACTCAGCAGGGTCTGTGTCTCTTTAAGAGCCTTTGTATAAACGGCAAGGTTCAGGTGTGCTGTGCTGTCTCTCTTCCCTTCTTTCTGTTGTAACTGCGGTGGCTTGGATCCTGCTGCATTAGCCCGCGTAGGCAGATTGTTCCTAGTGTATGATATTGTAGATAGTGTAAGATAAACCACCACTTAATACAAACCACTGTTTACTGTGTTCACGCCTGGGTTATCCCGGCGCAATAAGACTCTGCACGCTCTGACGCCTATCTCTTCCAAAGTAGGGAAAACTGCATTTTAAGTCACCTTCAGGTAAAATGGCCGAGAACAGGGGTCGTAAATAATTTATTTTGGGGAGGGGGGGTCAATAAAGAAGCGTCTGAACAGAGGAGAACAGGTTGGCAACTCTGCTGGGCTCTCGCGCAGAGACGGGTTGATTTGGGAACCCTTACCAGAGGGCTGCTGAAAGCGAGGTGTCTCCAGCTACCAAGTCCCATGCTGCTGGTCCTGGGAAGAATCCGGGTATTCAGAAATTCGCTGGACCTGTGGCTGAAGAACCTCGCCCTGGCTGCGTGCCTCAGCGAAGAGTGGGAGGAGAAAAAGGCTGCGTCCTCTTCTTCCTCTTCGTAATCTTGATACGTTTCCAGTCTTTTGGCTAGTTGTGGAGAAAAAACAGCTGTGTTACGGGCAGTCCTCGGCTTATGAAACCACAACGGAGCACCCCGAATCTCGGTTGCAAACCAAGACACCTGGTTGCCCCACTTTTCATTCACCTGACCGTGGGGGGTCGCAAGTGTGAAAAATGGTCCCCGGTCACTTTTTTCGGTGCTTGAATGGACACTAAGTGAACCGTTGTAAACTGAGGACTATTTGTGGACCCCTCTTCAAGAGAAATGATTGAGGCTGACCTTAAATTTAATTTTTTTTAAAAAAAATAATCATCAAATTGTCTAGTGGATTAGGCATACCTATAAATCGGGGCACCTCAGAAGCGTTGATACGAATTATCAAAATATTTGCTGTCTAGTTTCCAGGTTCCTTTCGCTAAGTGGACCGCTGTAAACCGAGGACTGGTTGTCTTTTATCAAAAGGAGCCCCTCCGTGGATTTGCCCTCCGTCTTACCATTTTCTTCGTGGCCGTATTCTAATCCCGCAATGCTACATCTCCGAAACACCATTTTATTCTCTGTCAGCGTTCCGGTTTTGTCCGAGAAAATGTATTCGATCTGGCCCAGATCTTCTGCGATATTCAGCGATCCGCACTGAATCTTTCGATCGGAGGCTTCGTCGTATAAATCCAGGTCATTCCGGATCAGAAAGATGTGTCCCAGTTTCACAAATTCAATGGACACGTAGAGAGAGATTGGGATCAAGACCTGAGAGGCGATTTATAATTATAAATTGGCAACAGCCACCTCTTAACAAAGAAAACTTACATAAGGTGTCCTATATAGATGGCACTTACCACCTGCTAGGTTAGCCAAAGGGTTTAAAAATGTTAAACATTTAACAAAAACGTTTTAAAATAGATCTAGCAAATGTTGGAAACGTCACCCCAAATCTGGCACGTATTGTGGTGGGTGGACCTGTGTTAAAGCAAAAAAAAATTTGGACAAAAATACACATCTGGTTAGGAAAGATGTTAAGATTTTTTTTTTTTAGTTTTAAAAGGGTTTTATTAATTTTTTTCTATACAATTCAGTAGTACTTATTCAACCAACGTGTTGTCTGAGTTGATCATTCACTAAGACAAATTTAATTCCTAACCCTTTATTCTTTTCTCCAGTGATTCACTTAACAACAGTGGCGAGAAAGGTCGTAAAACGGGACAAACTTCACCTAACAAATGTTTTCCTTGGCCACAGAAATTTTGAGCTGAATTCTAGTGGTAAGTCCAGGACTGCCTGTACAAGAAAAACATTGCTTTGACCCAGTCCTTTCAGGATCACAGGGACATAAATCAAAAAAGTTGGAGGGAACAAGCTGTGAAATTACCTGCAATAAAATGATCATCGTCCAGAACATTAAAAAACCTCCCAATTCTGCACGGAGTTCTTTTCCGCTTGCGTAGAGAGGGGGTCTCTCGTGGGCACTTAGCCAATGCCGGTGGCCTTTAAGGAAAGGAAAGGAAAGGAAAGATTTGGGGCAATTAAACATCAAACGATCAACATGATTTACTGTTCTTTAAAACAATGGCAGAAGAGCCTATATCAAAAGTATACGTTGCATAATAAAAGTTTTCGGTCTTAAGCTAAATTACTTGATATTAAAAGAGCTATCATGTTGTTCTTGGTATATTGCTCTTTCTCTCTCTCTCTCTCTCTCTCTCTCCAATCAGGCTTAGCAAATTTGAAAGACTGAAAGTAAAATAAGAAACAAACAAACAAAAAATTCAAATAAACAAATTTTAAAAAGCTTTTGACTTTCCCCCTTTTATACATCAGTTAGCCTCGCCTTTAACTTACCGATCGCCCCGATAAAACACATCACTATCAGAAGCAACACACACCAGAGGATGTCTTTGTTCATTCTCTTCTCTAGTTTACTTCGCTTGTAGCGAGCTCCTGTTGTGTTTAACATGGCTTTTGTTTCGTGACCTTGCAACACAAACAAAACACACACACACACACACATTGGATGTTTCAATGCAAAGAAAATCCTTAACTCATGCTTATGCAGTGCTTACACGATCTGTTCTGAATCACGTGAACTTCGATCAATCAATAAGAATAGAGCTGGAAGGGGCCTTGGAGGTCTTCTAGTCCAACCCCCCCCCCCGCTCAAGCAGGAGACCCTATACCGTTCTGAATATCAGAGTTAGAAGGGACCGTGGAGGTCTTCTAGTCCAGCCCCCCCCCCCAAGCAGGAGAACCTATACCATCTCAGACAAGTGACTGTCCAGTCTCTTCTTAAAAACCTCCAGTGATGGAGCACCCACAACTTCTGGTGGCAAGCTGTTCCACTGGTTAATTGTCCTCACTGTCAGGAAATTCCTCCTTAATTCCAGGCTGCTTCTCTCCGCTGCCTCCAGAAGCAGTGAATGCTCCAACACTGGAAGTTTTTAAGAAGAGACTGGACAGCCATTTGTCTGAAATGGTATAGGGTTTCCTGCCTGAGCAGGGGGTTGGACTAGATGACCTCCAAGGTCCCTTCCAACTTTATTATTATTATTATTATTATTATTATTATTATTATTATTATTATTATTATTACTACTACTACTACTACTACTACTACTACTATTATTATTATTATTATTATTATTATTATTATTATTATTATTATTAACATAGACAATATGTCCATGCAATTTACAGAACTTCGCTTCCTTTCCATTTAACTGCTCAAAGTTCTGGAACCGTGTTTTGTGACTTCCTAATTGACCCAACGAAGGGGCCGATACCTCTTTCGCTCCCGCACAACCCAGGCATGGCACCCACCTGCGTACACCACAATCCCGACAACAGCTTCGGTGTTTCTGACAATACATCCACGCATCAACAGGTTGTCCTTATTTAGGCCCACTCGCTCCTGATCCACATTCTCACTGTAACGTACGGAAATCTAAGATTAATTCTCACGGTTGTGAAATGAATCTGGCTTCTTCCCCCTTGACTTCGCTTGTCAGAAGATCGCAAAAGGGGATCGTGTGACCCCCAGGAGACGCCACGACCGTCGTAAGTACGAATCCCCCTTCTCGGTTTTAATACGATGTGCTATTTCGGTGCAATATATTTAGATTTTTAATACGCTATTATTTAGGCCTCTTAGAAAATTAAATATGGTTAAGAGGAAAACGGGAAATTCTAGCAATATTAATTATAGAGTTATGGATGTGAGCTGGGGACACCGCGACCGTCGTAAGTAGGAGTCAGTTACCAAGCTTCGGGATTTTGGATCACGTGACCCTGGGATGCTGCAAAGGTCCCAAATATGAAAAACGGTCCTAACTCGTGTTTATCGGTGCCTTCATAACTTTGGTCACTAAGTGAACTGTTGTAAATTGAGGACTATTATGGTCCTGCTTAGGAAAGGAGCACCCCACGTTTTGTTTTGTTTCTCCTCAAACGGAAGAAGGATGTTTCAGAGCAACTTCAAAAATACTTACATGAAGCCCCGGAAGGAGTTAAGGTCATTGTTCGGACTCTCACATTCTATTCTGCATATAATTTCTTCTGGATTAATTTCATAGGCCTGCAAAAGAGGAAGATCCCCCCACAAAAAAATAAAATCCAGGTGCAGAATGTTATAATTTCTAGAAATAATGAGATTTCTATCTAGCCGACACGAGGACATGGGTGCGTTTGCTTTTGCTAAAATGTCCATCCTTGGGGGCTGGACCCAAATATTTAGGTAATGGTTAGCTGTGGGGGGAAATATATGCAATAAAAGGGAAGGACGGGAAACGGTCCCAAGGCACTTTTTCCAGTACCATCGTAACTTGGGTCACTAAGTGAACGGTTGTAAGTTGAGGATTACTCATGTTTTCTCAATACCTGCTCAGCAAAGCCTTTTACCACCTGCCTCTGCTTCAGGTTGGTCTCTCCGTCCAGGCTTGAGGTCTCAAGGTGGCAGATTCCATCCCCGTCACTGGAATAGATCAGGATCATGTCCGCTGGAATCTCCTCGTTACACGACAGTCGGATAAAGTCACCCACGGCAACGTCGCTCCAAAACCTATTCACGTAGTCCCTCGCTTTTCTGGAAAAAGAAGGGAAAAGGGGGGGAGCTCAAAAAAGCTCCGTCAAGTCAACGGAAAACAAGAGCGTGCCGTGGTTTGATACAGGCCAGTCCTCTACTTACAACGGTTTAGTGGCCGTTCGAAGTTACAACATGACGCAGGAGCATTTTTCACACTTACGGCGGTCGCAGCATCCCTGTGGCCGTTAAAACCGAGGCCTCACTATGTTGCACAGGCCGCGTTACATACCTACAATACGCCCTGGTGACGAAATTGTTTATCTTCTTGTCGAGTTTGTACTTTGTGTAGTCCTCCAGGCCGTCTTTCACTGCAATAATGGTGAGAACCACACACAGGGGGATCATGGTGATTTCCTTCCTAAAGGCCTCCACCGCTGGAACCCAGTTAAGCAACACTATAAATAGGAAGTACAGATTGGCAACTCTGAAATAGAACAAAATACACACACAGGTAAACATACGAGACGCAGTGTGTCTAATCAGAACATTATGTATTCACAAACTGTAAGTATTTATCATATGCATTCTCAAATATCCGCATTTTTGTCTCTTTTTTGACTTAAATATTCCGTTTAAATAGTTCAGCTTTGGTTACCGCAGTGTAAAAAACATGTTGAGACTCTAGAATAGAAACAGAATAGAAATAGAAAGAACAGAACAGAATATAGAATATAGAATTAGAATATGGAATGGAATAGAACAGAACAGAAAATAATGGAATGGAATGGAATAGAGATTAGATTAGAATAGAATAGAATTACAGAATAGAAATTAGAATAGAATAGAATAGAATAGAATAGAATAGAATAGAATAGAATAGAATAGGATTACAGAATAGAATAGAATAGAATTCTTTATTGGCCAAGTGTGATTGGACACACAAGGAATTTGTCTCCAGTGCATAAGCTCTCAGTGTACACACAAGCCACAAGTGATAAATAATGATCATAATCATAAAATACAATCTTCATAAATGATATAACACTCAGTCTGACAGTCATAAGATACTAAATAAAAGCAACCAACACAAATCATAAGAAACCAACAACACAGTTATAGTCATGAGATGCTAAAGGAATAGATAATAGGAAAAATGAGAAGGATAATAGTAAAACAGCTCTGCCAGGGCATAAGAGAGTGCCGTGGGAATTAGTTGTTTGGCAGAATGATGGCATGAGGGGGAAAACTCTCTTTGTGTCTAGTTGAATTATGAATTCTGGTCATATAACTCAAATAAAACAAGTAAACAAATGAATCACCTATGGAACTGTTCAAAGAGATTCCTCGGTATAAAGGACCAAAACCGGTATTTTGTCGTCCGTATTTTGTTTTTCACGTAAAGGTTGGTGACTTTTTTATGCTCTTCTTTAAAATGGGTCGACCAAGGAATAACTACTCTGTGTTTCTTCGATTTTTCAGGCATCAGTAAAGTGTCACAACTCGGAGCGTTGGGCTTAACTTTGTTCTGCCTGCCGAAGGGCGGTATCAGCCACCGGCGACAATATCGCACTCCCCACAGCCTCTCTCCCATCTTCTGAGAAAAAGCACCCGATAAACCTGGAAGAAAAAGGAACAGAATATATTTAGTTGAGTGGTCGTTGCAAACCCAAATCCCCACCCCGGTCCTTTTTGCTTTTCAGCTTCTTATTCAATCCTCTTAATTTTAATAGTTTTGTGCAGTGCCCTTTTGATGTGGCTACACAGATACTGTACATTTTTGAATGACTGGACTAGAAGACCTCCTGTATTGAAAGTGTCTCCTGCTTGAGCAGGGGGCTGGACTAGAAGACCTCCGAGGTCCCTTCCAGCTCTCTTATTCTGTATTGAAAGTGTCTCCTGCTTGAGCAGGGGGCTGGACTAGAAGACCTCCGAGGTCCCTTCCAGCTCTCTTATTCTGTATTGAAAGTGTCTCCTGCTTGAGCAGGGGGCTGGACTAGAAGACCTCCGAGGTCCCTTCCAACTCTGTCATTCTGTATTGAAAGTGTCTCCTGCTTGAGCAGGGGGCTGGACTAGAAGACCTCCGAGGTCCCTTCCAACTCTGTCATTCTGTATTGAAAGTGTCTCCTGCTTGAGCAGGGGGCTGGACTAGAAGACCTCCACGGTCACTTCCGGCTCTCTTATTCTGTATTGAAAGTGTCTCCTGCTTGAGCAGGGGGCTGGACTAGAAGACCTCCGAGGTCCCTTCCAGCTCTCTTATTCTGTATTGAAAGTGTCTCCTGCTTGAGCAGGGGGCTGGACTAGAAGACCTCCGAGGTCCCTTCCGGCTCTCTTATTCTGTATTGAAAGTGTCTCCTGCTTGAGCAGGGGGCTGGACTAGAAGACCTCCAAGGTCCCTTCCAACTCTCGTCATTCTGTTACGTTAACCAGAGTAGGGTTTTTGCCCACATCTGACCCCATAGAAAAGACATCACTAATGGTAGCTGAAGAAAGCAGGCAATTTAAAAAAAACAAAAACCATACAGGAACCTACGTGTTTGGACTCTACGTCCAATCCGAGTTTTCCAAGAAGGAAACGGAGCAGTTCCCTCAAGCCATTGTGGCTTAAAATCTTGGCCGGTGGCACCTAAGCCAGCATACCCGGGTGCCAAGCTTGGAGAAGCTCTGGAACCAGCAACTGAAGTCCATTGTTACGAACGTTCTAGAAGAGTCAAGGCAAAGAATTGTTGCAGCCCCAAGACGGCTCTCCCGGCTTCCGTGGGTTGAAACGTGTCCTCCCACTTGCAAACACAGGCACGGCCACAACGGAGCCGAAAGCTCCTGTCGCTAAGCGAGACATTTGTTAAGTGAGACAATTGTTGAGTTTTGCTCCATTTTACGACTTTTCTTAGCAGTTGCTAAGTGAATCACTGCAGTTGTTAAGAGAGTCTGGCTCCCCCCTTGATTTGGCAGGTCAGAAGGCGGCAATATTATTATTATTATTATTATTATTATTATTATTATTATTATTATTATTATTATTATTATTATTATTATTATTATTATTATTATTATTATTATTAACTGGCAGGGATACACTAAGAGAGGCGTAATACACGCTTTGGGGTTATAAAACTACAATTCCCAGGATGGAATGCGCCTCACGTGACCGGCACCAAGGCTGCGCCTGCGCAGAACAGGCCACGGCTGGCCGCAGGCAACCACGCGTGCGCGCAACGCCCTTTAAAAAAAAAAAAAAAAAAAAGCGATCCAGGCAGACCCGCCGGGACTCTTGCGCGTGCGCAGGAGAAGATGAAGCTTTTGGAGAAATTGCCGGAGGCCGAGGCGGCGAAGGTAAGCACGGAAAGAAGGGACGAGCTTTATTATGAGCCGGACGGTTTCTGCACCACCGGAGCCCTTTCTTTCCTTTCGTTTCCCCTCGGTTCGGGCACCGAACGCTCGACGCTAGCTGCGCATGCGCAGAACGGTTCGCAGGAATCTCCGTGTTATCTGTGTGCGCATGCGCGTGTTCGTGGGGTTTGTTTTGTTTTTGGTTTTTTTGCACATGCGTAGTAGGGCGTTTTACTTCGTCTCTTCCTGTAGCATCCTTGCTGTGTTGAATAGCAGAGTTGGAAAGGGGCCTCGGAGGTCCTCTAGTCCAACCCCCTGCTCAAGCAGGAGACACTTTCACACAGAATAACAATAGCAGAGTTGGAAAGGGACCTTGGAGGTCCTCTAGTCCAGCCCCCTACTCAAGCAGGAGACACTTTCACACAGAATAACAATAGCAGAGTTGGAAAGGGGCCTCGGAGGTCCTCTAGTCCAGCCCCCTGCTCAAGCAGGAGACACTTTCACACAGAATAACAATAGCAGAGTTGGAAAGGGACCTTGGAGGTCCTCTAGTCCAGCCCCCTACTCAAGCAGGAGACACTTCCATACAGCATAACAATAGAGTTGGAAAGGGACCTTGGAGGTCCTCTAGTCCAGCCCCCTGCTCAAGCAGGAGACACTTTCACACAGAATAACAATAGCAGAGTTGGAAAGGGACCTCGGAGGTCCTCTAGTCCAGCCCCCTGCTCAAGCAGGAGACACTTTCACACAGAATAACAATAGCAGAGTTGGAAAGGGACCTTGGAGGTCCTCTAGTCCAGCCCCCTGCTCAAGCAGGATTCACTTTCATACAGAATGACAGAGCTGGAAGGGACCTTGGAGGTCTTCTAGTCCAGCCCCTTACCTGTTGCATTTGCATCTCCCGTTTCCTTTTGGAGAGATGCAACTGCGACCGTCATAAATACGAATCAATTGCCAAGTGCCTGAATTTTGAGCATGGGTGAAAAACAGTCATAAGTCCCTTTTTTCAGTGACGTCATAACTTTGGACAGTCACTAAACGAACTGCTGTAAGCCGGGGAATACCTATACTTCCGCCTAGTCGTGGCACTTAAGAAATCATGCCGTGAAAGTCCTTGTTTATGCCAATTTTTTCTCGCAGTTCCTTCACAAGGTCGTCGATGGGCTGTGTGGCTACGCTTTCCCTCGGCACCAGGACTATAACACTATTTGGGACTTAAGAGAATGGATGGAGGCTCTAGAACAAACGGCCTCGTACTTCAGGAAAACCGTTGGAAAAGACCTTTCTGATGAAGAGGTATGTATAGAAAAGAGAGACTTAATTCTGCGGGTAAAGTCAAAATTATTTCACAGGAAAAAAAAAACCGTATTAAGAACATTACAAGCCAAGCTTTATTTGTGGGGAACCTGGTTGTGGGTTTTTCTATTCAGATTTACAGGTACAATTTGCTTACGGACCCACCGGTGCATGTTTCAAAGTGACTTTCCCCCCCCTCCATTTTGTTAGTAGCTACTAGAGGATTAGCTGTATTTGCAACAAGTTGGGTGCGGGCGCCTTCAGGCAGCAGGAGATGTCGCAGACAAAAAATAACACACCTGGAGTTTCACACCTGCCTTAGGATAGTTTAGTTTTTATTGGATAAGAACTGTACTGGCATAATCGTTGCTCTTGTACCGCTAATTATTTCTTTTCTTTGTAGGCTGCTCGGCCATTGGCTGAGTTAAATCCCGACACTCAAAAAGCAATGCTGGCTTGTTTGAAAGGCAGGAAACCCGATATCAGGCAAGCCCTGATTGGAAAAACAAATGCTATTTGTTCCTCCCAGCTCTTGAATTTTGACTGGCAACTCAAGGTTAGATTAACCTTCTCACTTCTTGTCTGCATAATATTCTAGGAAGGAGATCCGTGAAGGACTCTGAAGCAAAAGCAGGGCAAAAGTAAAAGAAAGATCCTTTATTTATTTCTTTTCATGGATTCTGATTTTTAAAAAAGCAACAACCAGGTCTTAGTTGTGTTGTGTTTGCTTTCCTCTACAGCTTGCGCTTTCTAGCGATAAGTTGTCCATGCTCCAGATGCCGCTTTTAAACCTGGATCTGGATTTGTCTAGAGATGGTGACCTCAAATATATCTCTGTTGAAATGAATAAAGAGGAATTACAGGCTCTCATAAATGCCTTGGAAGCAGCAAACAAGGTGGGTCTGTCTGCTTAACTCACTTAACAAATGTTTCACTTAGCAACAATAAATGTTGGGCTCTACGGTGACTGTGTTGATAGTGGGAAACACCCAACTTAGCAGCAGACACCGAATGCTTATTTTGCCCAAAATCTGAGGGATAATTCTATGTTTAATTGAAATTACTTTTCTGGTCCTTTGTATCTCCCATTTTTACTCTTATATTTATCTTTGGGGAAAGTCATTCTGTTTCATAAAGCTTACTCTTTTTCTTATGGAAGAAATTTGGTAGCCGGTCCATAGATGTTGGAAACTGTTGGGATTTTCATATAAATGGAGACTTAATTATCCAGCCCAACAGTGTCTAAAAAGGTTAAATCACGGCAACTGGAGCAAAGTTTATTTATAGATACCTACGTTGGGGTTTTCACGGTCGGGGATTGACTGAGGAGATATGGGGGCAATCAGGTCTACACAATAAAGTTTAAAATATTATAATATAGTTGGACAATGTTATTTAATGGTTTCTATCTTTTTCATTCTTTGAAGGTTGTTTTGCAACTGAAATGAGCCCAATCTCGGAATTTCCCGGTGATGTTTATTCTAAAATGCAAAAGGATTTTTTTTCCCCCCCTGAACTGCAAAATTCAACACATAAACGAAGACGGAGAATTTTAATGGCAAGTTTAACAAAGACTCAAACTGCTAATGGGCAGTAGATCAAAATCAGTTAAGTACATTTAGGCTAAATGCCCAAAATGTGTCATAGAAGAAAGCTTGGACTGTTGCAGTATATCTGAAAAGTTTTGACGGTGCTGAAAATTCACTCGAATTCATAGGAACATCAGCAAACATTGTGTCAAATTATTCGGCGCAAAAGAAAAAGAATTTTTTTTCCCCAATTTGCTTTGGATTTGTTAAAACAATTACGTACGTTGACTACCATCTGACTGTCAGATTTGAAATGAAATAATTCATTTCTAACCTGCCTAAGAACCATGTTTTCTAGTAGAAATGTTTTCTATCTACAAATAAAAGGGAGCATCTCCACTTAAGAACATCAGTTTAAAAGCGACATTAGGAACACTCCCATTCATGTCAAGTGGGCTTACAACATTAGAGTAAATACTTGTAGGTGGGGAAAAAATCAATAAATGTTTTTAAAACTGAGTGTATGTGGAATGGATGAAACGTAGGCTGTCAAGTATGTTGCAGAATTAATACAGTGTTGAATCTTGTGGGTCTAGGACAATTTGTCGTAGGACGAGAGTTACAGTAATACCAAAAAAACAGTGGAATAGAATGATTAAAGAAAGAAGGCCAAAGGAGGGGCAAAATGAAAGGTGAAAGACAAAAAAAAAATTAAATTATTTTAAATAATTAAATTGAATTGTTGAATTCTCCCATGGCTAGTTGCCCTGCAGTGAGTTTAAAAAATAGAATAGAATAGAATAGAAGAATAGAATAGAATAGAATAGAATAGAATAGAAGAGTTGGAAGGGACCTCAGAGGTCTTCTAGTCCAGCCCCCTGCTCGAGCAGGAGATCCTAGACCATTTCAGACAAATGGTTCTTCAGTCTCTTTTGAGAAGCCTACAGTGATGGAGCATCCACACAACTTACTAAAGATTAGTTACAATCGTGTTACTAATTTGACAAGTGCTATTTTGACAAGTTCTGTTATTCTGATATGATGGCAGTCTCCCCATATTTGAGGGGCTGCCCCAGAGAAGAGGGGGGGGGGTCAACCAAAGCACCTGAAGGCAGGACAAGAAACAATGGTTGGAAACTCATCAAGGAGAGAACAAGCCTACATCGAACTAAGGAGAAATTTGTCTGAAATGATATAATTTTTCCTGCCTGAGCAAGGCGTGGGTTAGACTAGAAGACCTCCAAGGTCCCTTCCAACGCTTGTTCTGTTAATTGGAAGTCCTGTGAGGTCTACACCAAGTTGCATTTAAGAGGGCTTGAATGTCTGTCTGGGAAAGTTCATCTTCCTTCATGAGTTCTTGTGAACCAGAAAATCAGCTTGATTTTAAGAGCTGCGTTTGGATGAGGAGAACCTCGGTTTGGGGTTCATTAACCAGCATTTAACCAGTTTTTCCTAAATCTGGGCCACTGAATTCTCTGCATTTCAGGAAGATTAATTCTCGGTTTAATTTGGCCCTCACAAGCCTCTGATAAACTCGCTGACGTCGCGCACAATCCTGTTGGCTGAGGTAAACGACAGGAGGCGATAGTCAAAGAACATGAGAACGGCATGCACGCCGTTCTCGACGTGGCTCCAGGTGACCGGCACACGGTTGTCCGTCAGCCGCTTCACGTACAGCAGCCCGTCATCGCGAAGGACATCAAACTCGCAGGTCAAAAGGAAGGTCTGAGGGAGCTTGGAGATCACCCCGTCGTCCGCAAACAAGGGCGAGCCAGCCACGGTGAGCATCACTTTCATTTCTTCGTAGAGCTGAGGGCTGAAATTAGCCCCGGAAGGCTCTTGCGGCGTGTAGCCTCTGACCTTGAACTCCTCAGGGATAAGGCTGCCGTCGACCCACTTCTGGTACTTCAGCCGGGTGGCCTCCGGGACATGGCTGTTCTTCAGGAGACCGTTCACGAAGGAAGTTGGCTTGTTGAAGTATCGGCAGCAGACGAAGGCCACCAGCTTGCGCCACAAGAAGGGACTTCTGCAGTTCTGCTGGTAGGACGGCAAGGTCAGATCCAGAGCCTGCAGCACTGGGTAGATCAAGGCTTGGGCGTGGACCTTGGGAAGATCACTCCGGTCCACCAGTAACTGGCAAACTTGGGCGGCTAATAGCCCCCCAAAGCTGTCTCCAGAAATGATAACACGGCAGCTGTCCACCCCGTAATCTTCGGCATGTTTCAGGAGGAAGATGGTGGCCTTTAGACATTCAGCATTCTGGTTTGGGTAAGGGTTTTCCGGCCCAACTCCATACCTGAAAGAAGTGGGAAATGGCTTATTATGGCTTCCTGATCCAGGGTGGTACGTTGACGGGTTCGGTCCTGGCCTCCTTTTGTAATACGGTCTTTTAAAAAATTAATCAGAAAGCTGGAAGGGACCTTGGAGGTCTTCTAGCCCAACCCCCTGCTGAAGCAGGAAACCCTAGACCAGGGGTAGACAACCTTGGCTCTTTTATGACTCGTGGACTTCAACTCCCAGAATTCCTGAGCCAGCATGGCTGGCTCAGGAATTGTGGGAGTTGAAGTCCACGAGTCATAAAAGAGCGAAGGTTGCCTACCCCTGGCCCTAGACCATTTCAGACAAGTGGCTGTCCAGTCTCTTCTTAAAAACCTCCAGTGATGAAGCACCCACAACGTCTGGTGGCAAACCGTTCCACTGGTTAATTGTCCTCACTGTCAGGAAGTTCCTCCTTAATTCCATATATAATTTATTATTGGCCCCCAGTGAGGTGACCTTGGCGAAATGCCCATAGACTCCCCTGCCTATTAAAGAGGCAAGGAGGTAACACTCACCCAACTGCGATGACCGTTGTATCCCCCTCTTTGGCAATGTGACGCAGGAACCTTTCGTAGGTATCTGAAACAAGCAACGATGAGTTACAACAGATGAGGGTTCATTCCTGGAAACCGCTTTTCCTGGTTTAAACAAGGTTTGCCATCGGGCCATGGATGGCTGGTGCCAGGCCTCTGCTAAAGTCTGTCCTGTTTGCTTTTGGAATCATGTCAAAAATGCTGTGGCAATGTTGAAAGTGGATGAAGCTGTGGGTGCAGCTAGAATGTCTAAAATACAGATGTGGCTCAGTTAAGATATGTAGAGCAAATGGCTCCCACATTTAGCAAGAGAATTTAATCCTCTCTGTTAATCTCTCTCAGCATCTATGGACATCTGCCTGTCCACCCTTCTCTTGCTTCAGCTTCTTGCACAAAGCTAATTGGACTAGAATAATTCTTGACACGAACATTATAGGCCTAGTCAACTCTTCAGTAAATCACTTCGACGAGGGAATAGAAAGGAGAACTCATCAGATTTGCAGATGACACTAAACTGGTAGGAACAGACAACATCCCAGAAGATAGAAGATCTTGACAGGGTTGAACAATAGGCCTTATCCAACAAGATGGAATTTAAGGTGGAGAAAAGCATGGCTTGACAACTAGGCAAAAAACAAAACAAAAGCAGAACTACAAAGTAGGTCAAACCTGGCTCAAAAACAGTCACATGAGAGGGACCTTGGAATCCCAGTGGAGGATCCCTTAAACATGAGCCAGCCGTGTGCGGCAGCAGCCAAAAAAGCCAACACAATCCTTGGTTGGGTAAACAGGCATAGAATCAAAATCATGTGAAGTCTTAGTACCGCTTTATAAAGCCTTAGTAAGGCCACATCTGGAATACTTGCATCCAGTTTTGGTCCCCACGTGACAAAAAAGATGTTGGGACTTTGGAAAAAGTGCAGAGAAGAGGAACTAAGACGAATAAAGACCTGGAATATGAAGAACGGCTGCAGGAATGGGGGATAGCCAGTCTAGAGAAAAGGAGGACTAGGGTAGTAGATAGAAGTATTTCAGTATTTGAGGGGCTGCCTCAAAGAAGAGGGAGTCAACTTATTCTCCAAAGCACCTGAAGGCAGGACAGGAAAATCAAGGTGTGAAGACAATCTGCAATTAAGGTCTTGAGGACAATCTGCAATTAAGGTGTGAGGACAATTAACCGGTGGAACAACCTGCCTCCAGAAATTGTGGGTGCTCCAACACTGGAGGTTTTTAAGAAGAGACTGGGCAGCTATTTGTCTGGAATGGTATAGAAGGTCTCCTGCTTGAGCAGGGGGTTGGACTAGAAGACCTCCAAGGTCCCTTCCAGCTCTATTCTAATTCATTGAGAGCTGCCTGTGTGTGTGTGTGGTTGTGTGTGAGAGAGAGAAAGAGGGAGACTTTGAAGTGGAATGCCAAACAAATTCACGAACGTGTTTTAGTAACCAACCATCCGGAAGTGTTTTGCTGTCATCCGGGATGCTTTTCAGACTTCCAGCTTATCGCCCTGAATATTCCCCAGCTATCTCGGTTTAGCAATCCGTGGTTAGCTTGGACTACGTCTCTCTCCCCTTACCGAAGCTTCCGAAAATGCCACAGCCTCCATGGAAGTAAAGCATCGCTTTTCGTTTCGTAGCTGGCACTGTTTTGGATGAGTAGATCCTCACCGGCACCCCGTCAAATTTCTGGTCCCGAATGACGACGGCCGGATCCCTGCACGCTGGGATTCCATTAGCGAATATCCGTAAGATTTCAGGGACACTGCTCAAACCCAGTTCCTCCAACACAATTCCCTGTTGCCAAAGAACAAAAGAGGAGGAGTTAATTTGGATAGATTATCTTAATCGGCTTACAACGGTTCCTCTAGTAGTGACTGTTTTAAGGAGTCAAATCGGAAAAAATAAAAGGGTTTTGTGACTCCAACTAAAAAAAAAATTGGAAGTTCACAAAGGAACATCATAAGAACTCTGTGAAATAATCCAGAATAAACTCTAAATTGTTAGAAACCCAGTTCCAAGAATATTAGATATTCAGCTCCAAGGATATATCATTGGTTCTCAACTGACTCGTATTTATGACGGTTGCGGTGTCCTGGGGCCATGTGATCCCTTTGTGTGACCTTCTGATAAGCGAAGTCAATAGGGAAGCTGGATCAAATTGGGGAGTTGAGTGGGAGTGATAGGACGTGACATCTTATCCAGCTGGAGAACTTCGAGTGGGGGCACTTAAACTTTAACTTAACTTTTACTCAAACTTTAAACTTAACTTTTACTTAAACTTTAAACTTAACTTTTACTCAAACTTTAAACTTAACTTTTACTCAAACTTTAAACTTAACTTTTACTCAAACTTTAAACTTAACTTTTACTCAAACCTTAAACTTAACTTTTACTCAGACTTTAAACTTAACTTTTACTCAAACTTTAAACTTAACTTTTACTCAAACTTTAAACTTAACTTTTACTCAAACCTTAAACTTAACTTTTACTCAGACTTTAAACTTAACTTTTACTTAAACTTTAAACTTAACTTTTACTCTAAACTTAACTTTTACTTAAACTTTAAACTTAACTTTTACTTAAACTTTAAACTTAACTTTTACTCAAACTTTAAACTTAACTTTTACTCAAACCTTAAACTTAACTTTTACTCAAACTTTAAACTTAACTTTTACTCAAACCTTAAACTTAACTTTTACTCTAAACTTAACTTTTACTTAAACTTTAAACTTAACTTTGACTCAAACCTTAAACTTAAACATAGTGAGGGATAATTCTCCCAAGTTAAGATTTTTCTTTTTCAAATCCTTTTTAAACAAAAAAGACTTTCACCCCATTTTTTCCCCCATTCCCATTTATGAAAAAAATCTTTGGATTTGGCTACCTGGTCTGAACCAAACCCCCATCCCCAGGCCTCTGCCCTGAGCAGATCGGATGGGTCCAACTCTGCCCAGTTGGACAGGCCCAGTTACCACCCAGCTGTGAGATCCAGGAAAAAGAAAACGAAGGAAGCCCTTCCTATTTCAGCCCTTCCAATCTGGACAGGCAGGTGACCCGGTCAGTTTCACTGCTTTCTTGCTCAAGAAAGCCAAGAAACGCTTGGATGGCGGCGACGCCGATGAACTCCGGCTAATTCTAACCCGGGAAGAAAAGAATAAAGCCGTGCTATTCTTCTCCTCTACGTCCGTGAGGGAAAAGAAGGAACGAAAGACAGGCCTTACTAAAACGATGCCCGAGATGAAGACCGTCTGGCAGAAACGGAGCTTCCATTGTTGTTCAATCGCAGGAGGAAGCGACGTTTGGGCATACTGGATGATGACCGAGAGCAGGAAGATGGCTGGGTAGATAGTGGTCCCAACAAGAAGGCAGACCAGGAGCTTCCAGAGGGACCTCATGGCGCCTGGTATGGGGCAGAAAGATGGTCTTCTCCTCTCCTCCTTCTCCGAACTGTCCACAGAGGCTGTGAAGAGTCCAGTGGCTGATCCAGGGAAAAATAAATGGGATTAATAAGGGGAGGCCGGCCTTCTCTTCCCCCACCCATTATGGAGACACCTACAAGGATGACAAGGCAGGGACACAAGGCAACATTGGATCCTCGCCTTCTAAAACAGGTTTATGTCCGGTTGGGAAATGTAGGTCTCTAAGTAGACCTCTTAGTGTGTGGACTCAACAGGTTTACTCTGTGGGCCAACCTCTTCTCGGTTCTCCTTCCATCGGCTAGACGCCAAAAGATTACCCGGTCTACCGCATTATTAAGTCTACTATATTATTAAGGGTTTAATCACCAACGTGGTGCAGCATTTTCAGCTCCCTTTTTATTTCCTGATATTGCAATGGTGCCAACTTTGGAAAGCGTCGCCCGATTGCGGTTCCTAGAGGGAGCTGTCCTGTGGCCGTGAGCCACGACCATCCTACCCCTACCTCAGGGATGTGTAGAGCCCCCAGTTCAGGGGTAGGTGTGTGTGTGTGTGTGGTGGCGGCGCAGTGATTAGAATGCAGCATTGCCAGCAGTTCGATCCTGACCGGGTCGAGGTTGACTCAGCATTCCGTCCTTCCAAGGTCGGTAAAACGAGGAACCAGATGGTTGGGGACAATATGTTGACTCTAAACCGCTTAGCGAGGGCTGTGAAGCACCGTGAAGCGGTCTATAAGTCTACGGGCTGTTGTTATAATTCTCCATTCTATTCCGATCAGAACTTGCTTAGGAAGGGGCAGCATGATGGCATGGCTGTAATGCCAACATCTCATTTCAGACCGTTGCAAAGGACCTGGGTCTCAACTGGATTCCCTATTTGTGTTCTTTGCCTTTTAGCCAGGCTCCGTGTTCTTAATACGGGCTAGCCATAAAACAGTGTTTTTAATGCATCTGTTCTGTCCCAGCCTACGTGAGTCCTTGTGAAGCTCACAAGGAGAAGCCCCTCTTCCAAACAAGCTGGAATTGCAGGAAAAAACCAATCCCCTTTTATTATTCACAGACCTGAGTCAATGTCCAAGGCAAACAAACACAGTTCATAGAAACCCGATCTTCGACACAAACCCACACCTTCCCTTTTATTATGCAGCCAAAGCGTAGCCTTCTAATGCCTTCTCCTTTGCCTTTGGAGCCGCCCCATTGCATTTCCTCTGTCCTACTCTCTTTTCTTGTCTGCCTTTACTTGCATCCTGGATAGCTCCCAGCTGTGAGTCATCTTCCTCTGACTCCTCCAGTCTCTTCTTAAAACCTTCCAGTGTTGGAGCATTCACCGCTTCTGGAGTCCGGTTGATTCGAACAAAGCCCAAGCGACGGCATCTGGACACATCAACTTTCCACTTCAATCAATCAATCAATCAATCGATCAGAATAGAGCTGGAAGGGACCTTGGAGGTCTTCTAGTCCAACCCCCTGCTCAAGCAGGAGAACCTAGGGCCTAGACCTCTCCAGCCTCTTGAAAACCTCCAGAGAAAACTTTTACAAAATGTTTTATAGGTGGCATTTGGATCCTCAAAAATTGTCTCGTATGTATCCTAACTTACAACCTAAATGTTGGAGATGTGGAAATTTAGATGCAACTTATTTTCATGTGTGGTGGACTTGTAGGATGGTTAAAGCATTTTGGATAAAGATTTGGTGGAATATTCAAAATGTCTTTAAGACATGCTGGGTATTATGGAAAATTTGGATAAAAAAGAAATGGAATTGATGTTGAATTTGATAACTGCTGCGAGGTTATTAATAGCTCAATGTTGGAAAACGGATCGTTTGCCTACTATAGAGGATTGGGCATTTAAAGTTTCAAATTTAGCAGAAATGGCTAAGATTTCAGCCTATGTGAAGGATTATTCACAAGAAAGATANCCCACAACTTCTGGAGGCAAGCCGTTCCATTGATTGATTGATCTGGGATTATACAATAACAGAATTGTGGAGTTGGAAGGGACCTTGGGGGTCTTCTAGTCCAACCCCCTGCTCAAGCAGGAGACCCTAGACCACTTCAATCGATCAATCAGAATAGAGGTGGAAGGGACCTTGGTCTTCTAGTTATAATAATAATAATCATAATAATAATAATGATGATGATGATGATGATAATAACAACAACAACAACAACAACAACAATAATAATAATAATAATAATAAAGTTGGAAGGGACCTTGGAGGTCATCGAGTCCAACCCCCTGCCCAGGCAGGAACCCTACACCATTTCAGACAAGTGTCTGTCCAGTCTCTTCTTAAAAACCTGGGTTCTAAAGATCTTGAGCCTTGTCATCTAAAGGCTTTCAAGAAGAGATTGGACGTCCCTTCCCATTCATCCAAGAGAGGCACGGTCTTCGTAGGACTGTGTCGGAAAACTCACTTCTAAAGAAAAGCCAAAGTGGGTTTATTTTTATTGAGCAACCCCCCAAAAATACGCCTGGCTCCCCAAAAGGACAGCTAAGACCTCCAGTATTTTGCTGGCCTAGACCCCATAGAGACTTCATCCAATCTTCAGGAAGATCTCAAGCTGGACGGATTATGTAGAGGGAAGGGTGGCCTTTTCTCCAGAGAGGAGAGATCAGAATGTGTAGGTGTTAAGTTTTGCCACACCTATGCAACCCATTTTACAACATGCCCGAGGGATGAAATTACCAAATCCAGGAGATTGCAAGAGAAAGCAGAGAAAGACTGCGACAGATTTGCAAGTTGGCCAACAGGGGACTTCGCGAACCATAACATCATAGAAGGCCGATGGAAATAAAAGTAAAGACTTTTAGAACCGTTCTAGGAACTGAAGGACCCTTTGGAGACTCCTCCTCGTCCCGGGGAACTCCATTGGCCCAAGGCCTATCAGTAAGGAGATCCCGTGGAATCCATCCCCCAGGTGATGCCAAGTGACCGCCACCCCGTTCTCTTCCAGCCGCCTTTTGTAGAGCAGGCCGTCATCTCGGAAAATGTCGTATTCGCAAGTCAGAAGGAAAGTCTCTGGAAACTGCCGGAGGACGGCATCTTCGGCCAGGAGTGGAGAAAACCTGGGTTCCAATGTTCTCTCGAATAATCTGAAGAGGTCTTCTGAAAACAGACTGGGTACAAACGGCACGTAACCCCGGACTTTAAACTCCTGGGGAATGTGGTCCGGGCTAACCCACTTCTGGTACTTGGCCCTGACCTCCTGGGACAAGTGGGCGTTGGCCATAATGCCATCCACGTCGCTGTCACTTCCGTTGAGATAACGCACGGTGAAACTGACGGCGTATCTCTTGAACAACAGGGGCACCGAGTGGTTTTGCTGGTGAGAAGGCAGGTTGAAATCCAGAGTTTGGCTGTAAGGGTAGAGGAGCACGTGGGCCTTGACCCGTGGCAGGTCCTTCCGTGACACCAGCTCTTGAGAAACGGCGGCCACGATGGCACCTCCACTGCTGTCTCCACCCAGCACGATCCGTTCTGGGTCCACCCCGTAGTCCTGCGCGTTCTTCAAAAAGTGCGAGACGGCAGCGTAGCAGCTGAGCTGTTGAGCTGGGTAAGGATGCTCTGGTGCTAAGGGATAGCTAAACCAACATTGAGTTAAAAAGAAATCTCTCAAAGGCATTGGGGTCCCTGTTGTTCCTATTGTTCTTGTTATTTTACATTTAATTTTCAATTCGATTCACAGTCTGGGACTGGTGAAAACTCAACACTTCAAGTCCTATTCTATTCTATTCTAAATTCTATTCTATTCTATTCTATTCTATTTTCTATATTCCACTCCATTCCATATACAGTATTCTATTCTATTCTATTCTATTCTATTCTATATTCCACTCCATTCCACGTATTCTATTCTATTCTATTCTTCATTATTCTATTCTATTCTATTTTTTATTATTTCTATTGTATTCTATTCTATTCTTCATTATTCTATTCTATTCTATTTTTTATTATTTCTATTGTATTCTATTCTATTCTTCATTATTCTATTCTATTCTATTTTTTATTATTTTTATTTTATTCTATTCTATTCTTCATTATTCTATTCTATTCTATTTTTTATTATTTCTATTGTATTCTATTCTATTCATTATTCTATTCTTTATTATTTCTATTCTATTCTATTCTATTCTTCATTATTCTATTCTATTCTATTCTTTATTATTTCTTTTTTTTTCAAATATAAATTTTTTATTGTTTTCATCATAAGAAAAAACACATCACAGATACATCACAATGTAAAAAGCCCTACCCCCCACCCCCCACCCGGACTTCCCAAACCTAATCCCAGGATACTATTCAGCTAAAAGTAAACTATTATTAATATCCCTAACTCCACAAAATATTGTTCTAGATAAGTAAATGAAATATATATATAAAAAAAAGAAAAAAAAGAAAAAAGTTTTTATCTAAAAACCTAAATTATATTCCACCATTCTATACTTATTTTGAATATAAACAATCCATCTTCTCCATATTGATAAAAATTGTTCATTTGAATGATCCTTCAAATAAGCCGAAATTTTTGCCATTTCAGCAAGATGCTGAATAAATATTCTTTATTATTTCTATTCTATTCTATTCTATTCTATTCTTCATTATTCTATTCTATTCTATTCTATTCTATTCTATTCTATTCTATTATTCTATTCTATTTTCTATATTCCACTCCATTCCATATACAGTATTCTATTCTATTCTATTCTATTCTATTTCTATTTCTATTCTATTCTATTCTATATTCCACTCCATTCCATGTATTCTATTCTATTCTATTTTATTCTTTATTATTTTTATTGTATTCTATTCTATTCTTCATTATTCTATTCTATTCTATTCTTTATTATTTCTATTGTATTCTATTCTATTCTTCATTATTCTATTCTTTATTATTTCTATTGTATTCTATTCTATTCTTCATTATTGTATTCTATTCTATTCTATTCTATTCTATTCTATTCTATTCTATTCTATTCTATGAGCTTTTAAGGTAACGTCTGAGTATATAGGCAATATATTATTATTATTGTTGTGCAATATCCAATACAGGCACTCCTCGACTTACCACTACAATTGATCCCAAAATGCCTGTAATTGAGACATTTGTTAAGTGAGTTTTGCCCCACTTTACGACCTTTCTTGCCGCCGTTGTTAAGCGAATCACTGCAGCGGATAAGCTAGTCCCCCGGTTGTTAAGTGAATCGGGCTCCCGTGTTTCCCGTGTGGCAAATTCAGCTGATCTCCCTTACCCGATGCAGACGATCACGGTGGCACTTTCCTGGGCAAAGAACTGGCACAGCCTTTTGTGACTTTCTGGAAAACCACAAAGAGAATAAGAGAGAACAGAGCAGAGCCGGAAGGGACCTTGGAGGTCTTCTAGTCCAGCCCCCCCTGCTCAGGCAAGAATTGATCTTCAGACGAAAAAGTCCCACTTCTCCCAGCCCTAACTTGTAGGTTTTTTTATCTGAACCCACCCACCCATTTCCCTTGGCAAGTATTTCGCCATCCCAGTCAATTTCAGGCAGTCCCTAACTTAACGACCACAAGGGGAGGGGCCCACATTCCTGTCGCTCAGCGAGACGTTTGTTGAGGGAGTTCTAGCCCCGGTTGCTAAGTGAAACACGGCAGCCGTTAAGTTAGTCCCAGGGCTGTTAAGGGAACTTGGCTTTTTCCCCCCTCTGAAGATCGCCATAGGGGATCAGGTGACCCCCTCCCGGGAAACTGCGGCCGTCGTAAGTATGAATCGGCCGCCCAGTGTTTGCATTTTGGTGCTGGAAAGAGGGTTACGGGTGGGAAAACGGCCCTAAGTCCCTTTTTTCGGTGCCGTTGTAACTTTGATCGGGTCACTAAATGAACCGTCGTTAAGTGGAGAACTTACCAAGGCTTCCAAACAACCCTCCTCCTCCGTGAATCCACACAAGCCCTCGTCGGCTCTCAGCCCTTGAGGATTTGGACGCGTAGACCCTGACGGGCACCGTGTCGAAAAACGCCTCCTTGACGATCAGGTCAGAGGGCCCCGTTGGGAGTTTTCTGTCGACCAGGAACCTCAGAACATCCATTTCATGGCAGATGCCAAGTTTGTGCAGAATCACACCCTGCTCGGTGCAAAAGTTGAGAAAGAGACCAAATGCATGGAAAGAGTCAGACTTCTTCTTTGTGTGTGGGGGGGTCACTTTATTTTCCAAAGCACCAGAAAGGCAAAAGACAAGACACAATGGATGGAAACTCACCAAGGAGAGAAGCAGCCTGGAATTAAGGAGAAACTTCCTAACAGGGAGGACAATTAACCAATGGAACAGCTTGCCACCAGAAGTTGTGGGTGCTCCATCACTGGAGGTTTTTAAGGAGAGATTGGACAGCCATTTGTCTGAGATGGTATAGGGTCTCCTGCTTGAGCAGGGGGCTGGACTAGAAGACCTCCAAGGTCCCTTCCAGCTCCTATTCCTGTTCTTGTTCTTGTTCCTGTTCCTGTTCCTGTTTCTATTCTATTCTATTCTATTCTATTCTATTCTATTCTATTCTATTCTATTATTTTCTATTCTATTCTATTCTATTAATTCTAATTTTAATTCTATTCTACTCTGACTTCTAATTCTATTCTATTCTATTCTATTCTATTCTACTGTTCTGTTCTATTCTATTCTATTCTATTCTATTCTACTCTGAATTCTAATTCTATTCTATTCTACTCTGAAGTCTAATTCTATTCTATTCTATTCTACTCTGAATTCTAATTCTGTTCTATTCTATTCTATTCTACTGTTCTATTCTATTCTATTCTATTCTATTCTATTCTACTCTGAATTCTAATTCTGTTCTATTCTACTCTGAAGTCTAATTCTATTCTATTCTACTCTGAAGTCTAATTCTATTCTATTCTATTCTACTCTGAATTCTAATTCTGTTCTATTTTACTCTTAATTCTAATTCTAATTCTAATTCTAATTCTATTCTATTCTACTCTGAATTCTAATTCTATTCTTTCTCTATTCTATTCTATTCTATTCTATTCTATTCTATTCTATTCTATTCTATTCCTATATTCTAGCACTTTGAAGGCACATCAAGCAGGGAGCAGAGCACACATGGCTTAAAGTGTGGAGGGGAACATGGCAAGGAGACAACCATATCAGAACGCGAAAGGAAGAAGTCGAACCCAAGCAATTAAAAAAAACAACCCAACAAAACCTGAAACTTCTGCTGACCACATTGCAATTCTCTGCAGGACTGGGCTGGCCAGGAAAAGCCCCTGAAAGCAAAGGTAGAATCCAAGGACGGAGGCTTACCACTCTCAAAAAAATCCTAATGGACAAATGAATGAAGCAGAGTTTTCTCCCTTGGCTGATTCCGGGTGGGATGTGAACCCTGGTGAACTCTTGGTAGAGGACCCAGGCGAAGACTAAAAACGGGACCGAAACGCAGAAGGAAAGTGTCAGCATCCACATCGCTGGGACTAACGTCATTCCCGTGCTGAAAAGGTCCTGAGATGGGATTCTTTTTTTTCTTCTTTCTTTTTAATTATCTGACAATCTGGTCAAAGGAAATTGCAGCTGCAGCTCCCTGGTTCGGTTCTGTTTGTTTTTTTTCTCTCGGTCTGCGAGATCTGTGTGTTGCCACGGCTTAGTTCTTTTAACAACAGGACACAGGTGTGCCTTCTTTTGTATCCTTTCCCTCCTGCATTTGACGCGATGATACGATTGGCCCTTTCCAGGGTGATTTGTGGAACCGGTGATGTACGATAGTCAGGCTGACTATCGGGCCTCGCACGCGGCTTAAGGAGACACGGACAACATCTTCCTTTGGTGAGGTGTGTAGAAGCAGGAGCGAAAAGACCCCTTGAGTTCTTACGCACCTACTTTTATTAGAGTATAGCAGGTATGGGAGTGGTTACATCTCAGGAGGAGGGGAACATTTCCTTACTACCATATACGGTCTTTTTTGTGCCCTTTAGGAAACGAGGAAGTCACCTTAGGCATACGTGACATAGCTGTTGGTCACGTAGGCTAGCTTTTGTTTGAGAAAGTGCTTAGCGATAAGCACTGATACATTGTATAGAATATTGCAACATCTCCTCTGTTTTAGTTTTTAAGGGCAAGCCTCTAACCTATTCCTTGCTGCCACCTACCTCCTCCGAGGCAAGTGATTACAAGTCCATAAGTATCCGAGGATCCCCTTTGGCTGTATAATATGTGACAGAGTTATGTTCAGTATTAAACGATTCAGGATCTGATAGAGTCAGTAGGGCTATTTTTTCAGGTGTTGTTTCAGTAGCCTTGATTTCCTCATACCATGTATTGGATGCTAACATGACATTAATTTTT